GTTCTTGGAATCAAAAGTTGGGAGTTCATGATTCTGATCAACTTCAAGAATTGATTATTGAATTTGGGCAAATTCTTAATCAAAGTTTCTTGATTATAACATACAAATGAATATCTGGGGAGGATCTTGGATTTTTTAATTACGGAAAATTTTATTTTTTGGTAATTCTTGTTTCGCAATCCAACTCGTGTGATGGTGATTTGGTCGATGGATGGGGTGGATGCGAAAATGATTGGTTTTTCCTTTTTTTTTTCTTTTTTCAATTCCTTTCCTTTTGTTTGTTCTTTTTTTTTTTAATCATTTTTTAAATAGGAAAAGGAAGAACATGTCGAAAATAACAAGTTAGGGACCTCGTAGTACTTTTGGAAAGTTTTGAGACCCCAAATGTAATTTACCTATTTTATTTATTTAAAGCGAAGTGTAAAAGTTATCTTTTAATGCCATATTAACAGTCAAAATGGATGGGTTATGTTAATAGTCGCACATACCAAGCATATTTTTTTCAAATGTTGGGAATGTTAGGGTTATTTTTAAAGGCTGATGTAGATCTACAACGATTTTGAAAGGTTGACAAACCAAATATGCAATTTTCCGTTAGTTAAGCTTATTGCAATTTTGGACCAAAAAATAATGACTGGATCGAGGCAACATAAAAGCTGACCAAGTTATTATGAGTAGAGGTGTCAATCCGGGTGATTCGGGCCGGGTCGGCCCGCCAACATGTGAGCCGGTAACGGTCCGCGTGAAAAAAGCCCGCCCGCTGCGGGTTCCGGGCCGGTTACGGGTCAGCCCACAATTTTGGATTACAACCTAGACCCGCCCACTGACCCATCCGGGTCGAGCCCATGCGGGTCACGGGTTGCGTGGGTCGCGGTTCGTTCCGATTTTGGCCCGTATGATTGTATAAATAAAATTATAAAAATATAGAATTTTTCATATTTATAGCAAAAAATATTTTTTTTTATTAAATGTAAACTAAGAATTGAACAAAATGATAAATTCATAATTATATCAAGAAGTTTTTACATAGAATTCAAATTTAATGTTACAT